GCATGGGAATCAAAGCCAGTACGCTAATCTCCTTTGTCAGATGCTTAACAGCCATAAAATAGGACACCAGCCAATATAATTTCATTAATCTTTATTGAATTGTATTGTTCTTAGGGTATAAGCTGTCTTGGTAAGATTATCAATCTTGAAAAGTGGAACGATTCAACAAATAAATAAAAACAGTAGTATACTGCTGTTTTACTAAGTTTGAAGCTGGTTCCCCACCGCCCGCCCCCGAACAGTATTAGAAACACTTTCCTGCAAAGTATAACTTTGATATACCCTTTGTAGTCACACAGTTGACTGTGGCCTGAATGCCCAATAGCCCTTTCACAAGAAATTACACTTCTCCAAACCATTCCTTTTGAGTAGCTTGTGAGATTGCTTTTGCTACAGCAACAACAGCTACTTACTGTGCTAAAGAATTGTTTGTTAAAGAAAAGGTACATTTAAGAAAGTAGTCTTAAAGTTTAGGGAACTATTTGGTGGTGGGGATAACGGAATCCTAACCGCTATCTTTCTGTAGAAATGACACTGTTCTGGTGCAAGCAAGACAAATTATTTCAAAGGGTTGAAGATGAAAGGTTTTGAATTTTTGAGTTTTGACATACAGGTGCATACTAACCCCACTCTATTGGCTGAAAATGAAAACTGACATTTAAAAGAACAGTTCTTGAAAAGTAGCAGTTCTAGTTTAAAAGCTTGGGGCTGCAAGAAATAACAGGGGAGTAAAACAGTGATACTAGCATACTGTATTGTATATATATTGCCAAAAATACAGGGGAAGAAACCTATCATATGAAGTATATCTCTGGATCTATTTTTCCACCAAAGGTATTCGGTTATGAATTCTTTGTACCCCATTGTGTAAGGGAACATCAAACATGCTTAGCAAACATGCCATTACAGAAGACATAATGGGAAGAAATAATGATGTTTTATAATGGCAAAGGTCTGTGAAAAGAAGAATGTGATGGAGAGAATACAAGATTCTACCTGCACAGAAACTGACCAGCAGTGCTATGGAATAACTTGGATAACATCTGTTGCCAAGTATTCTGTCAAATTGGACAAACATTTTTTACACTTAGAATCAAGACTTGTTTTCTGAACAGTCATGTTGAGGAGCTCATAATTGTGCACAAATCCCTCTTCTGGAAATGCCATGGCATCTAATGAGCAGTTGTTGTTGTATCACAAAGAGCATTTCTTTGGGCAGATAAGGGTGTGATGTTGGATTAACAAAGAGCTAATAGGTAAGCTAAACCAGCAGGATTAGAGGTCATGCTGAAGGGCTATGAGTAAAATAAACATTATACCCTAACCTTAAAAGAAACAAGAAGCCAATTTTCTCAGACGTATGGCTCATTAGTAACATAATTTCCAAACAAAGATGTCACTAAACCATGGTCATCCGCAAACTGAACCAACAATTGGGCCACACGGTATACAGAAAACCTATACATACAGACAGATACCAACACAAAAACTCCAACCATCACCCGGGACCAAAAAGGAACACAATAAAAACACTGGTAGATCATGTAAAAAGGATCTGTGAATCCCAGTTCCTGGAAAATGAATTGAAGCACCTTTCCTTGGCTTCTGTGTGGGGGGAAGCCAATACCTAGGATAACATCTGTGCCCTCTGAAAATCCTGGTCTTTCAAAAAGTGACAGAGAAATCTGGATCGTGTATGGGATGCCTCTGGGCTGGGCACGGAGGCGTGCGATAAAATCTGTAATTAAAAGTTTTCATTCCAAGCCTTGGTTGGGGGGGGGAAATGATAAAAAAGGGCAGTGCGATAATCTCCTAAATTGAAAAAAATGAAATTAAACCATAACCCAAAGTGATGCCCTGGAAATTATAGAGTATAGACAAAAGATATGTTCAGGGATACTGGAAGACATCTTTCCATAAAAATTTAGATGAGATGGGGGCGGGGTTGTCTAGAAACCAAGTTTCACTGGATATATTCAATAAATGGATGCCAAATCATGTGGAAAGACAATCCAGAGTGTAAGACTCTTTCTCTATTATTCTCATCAAGTTAACTGAATGCAAAATTAAACTCTGAATTCGGTTTTCAGCAGCTGAAATAAATTGAGAACAAAGTGAGAAAATGGGAGGAAGTATGAGAAATTGGGACATTGCTGAAAAAGTGGGATGGCAAAGAATTAAGCAGGACTTTCCATGCCAAAATGAGACAGTTGGAGGGTACCGTATGTTAATAATTAATTTGTACAATTTCATCTCTTCCCCCTCCCCCCACACAATGCGTCCTATTTTCTAAAATTTATACTGGAAAGCCTGCACATCATCATCATCATCATCATCTGTGTGGCATCTCAAAACTGATACAACTGCATGACATACAAACATTCCTATTAGTCATACAATACAGGCCTGAAATCAATGGGACACCTTATATTACTTAAGTGCTACAGTAAGACTATTCTGAATATGACTAACTCTGGATCCAACCCCTTGTCCATAAAGATGTGGACTCCCTTTTGTTTAAACTAATTTTTAGGACTATATGCGAATTAACTTATGGAAAAAAGCAAAGCACCTAACTTAAGTTCGCACATAACCTGAATTTAGAATGCATAGCCATGAACCAATAATATAGACTGCTTTCCACTCCATCCGACGTCATCTGGGGGGAAGATGCAGGCCCATGTTGTTTTATGTTATATGCTAATTTTTATGCTGTAAACCGCCTGGATTGGACTACCAATGGGCGGTATAAAAATAAAATTTTTTATTATTATTATTATTATTATTATTATTATTATTATTTCTGGTGAATTCTCTTACTCTGTTGGATTTCTCAAGCTTTCTGCTTCAATTTGGAATTTTGGTTTTAGTCTGTCTCCTCGCTCTGTCTCCTTCTCTCTCTCATGTACATGCATGTGTGCTACATGAGAATTCATTCACACTCAGGGGAAATAATTCACCCCCTGAATGGAAATTCAGCTGCTTCCAAGCTTGTCAGGGAACAGATGACAAAACCTTCTCCAGCCACAATTTCTGCCTAGAGGTGTATGCATTGGCAGCTTAGTATGGATCTCCCCAGTGGCCAGCAGAGCCTGGAACTGTTGGAGGCATTTCCAAATACACAACCAATATTGGAGGCCTGTGGAAACTGTCAATGCTATGATAGGAGCTATTTCTTTCTTAGATCCCACAGTAATCTGCTAGTGAACGTGGGTCTGATAACAGAAGGAGAGTGCAATTCAAATCTGAGAAAGCAATTTGTCAAATGGGAGGCTGCAGAGTAAAGTGATGGTACAATATGCAAGAGAGACTGTAGCTTAGTCTAATCATACGGTGCTTGGGCAAATTCACCACAGGGGAGAGGGAAAGAGAGAGAGAAAGAGAGAGAGAGAGAATGAAAGAGGAGCTTTGTGTGTTGTGACTCTCTCCTGAAAGAAATTTCCAGTTACAATTCTGCCACTGGCACAAGCTTATTTTTTTGCTGCTTGAAGAATTCATCTGATCTCTAGATGCTTTTTTTCGCTACAGCAAAAGATCTGGATGTGGTTGTACTGATCTTCCACTCCTTCAATGACAAAGGAATGGCAACATGGGGGTCTGCATGTTAAGAGATGGGTTTTACAGAAATGTTGGCATTTGCACAATCACTAAAGATTTCTCACTGCTGCAACAACAAAAAAGCAAGTTATAGTAACATTTGTTGGTCTTAGCAACACCCTCTCTCGTCTTGCATCAGATATTCTGAAGTTAGTCTGAGTTTGTGCTTCCTCCATTTTGTAGTTTGTGGTTCTCTCGCTCTCGCACACCATATTTGAAGAGCACATATTACAGCCTTCTACCATTAGATATTACGAAGCCTTTAGTATTTGCAAGCAGACCTACTTCATGAGGTTTTGCCAAAGAAAACTAAGCCTGTTTTATTTCTCTGGTAGATTCTGTCTGTGGTTGTTGATGGTGTGGGATTGGTTATTGCTCACCTTCTGCTTATGAATACTAACTAGTCTGTTGGTAAGATACC